ATCTTCACCTTTTTCCCCCTAAGGTGCTGTCATGTTACATTTCTCACAGGGATTATTTAAATATTAAAAAAAATGTTTTTTTTTTATTTGTATTATTATTATTATAATATAATAACCTTTTAGTTCTTATTGTTAATGATCTTTTTGCTAGTTTAACACACATACATACAAATCACATGAAATAAATGTAATGTCTGTGCAAGGGCAGCTGTAATGGAATAAATCTAAGCTTTAGACCAGGGGTGTCAAACTCAATATCATTGCACTCAAAGGGCCGGTGGTAACTTTAAGACTATATAAATATACATAGATAAATATATATAATATATAAAATAATGTATTATATTACATTATTTCCTCTGCATTGGATTATTATCAGATAGGGTAATAACTTCATAATTAACTACATCTGAAAGCAAAAGTCTAGGGCAAATAATTGTAAGTAATTGCAAGTCTCTTCGGTGCGCATCTCACAAAATGAGATGCATTGTGGGACATGTAGTTTATGGGCAACGTGCTCCTGTAAAGCGGCACGTAACCTTATAATAAACGTATTATATTCTTTGCATGTTCTTGTAGGCCACATAAAATGAAGTGGCGGGCCAGATTTGGCCCCCGGGCCTTGAGTTTGACACCCCTGCTTTAGACTTTTAAAATATGTATATTTATAATAAAAAACACCCAAAACAAAAACGAAAGGTGAAATATCTACATACAAATTTAGAGAATATTCAACTTTTTCTCGTAAATGTACTCTCCTCTAATCTTAGCGCTTTCTCTTCAGGGTTTTTATATATTTTGTATTATTTACATTTGACCTACAAGAGGCCTAAAAAGTTGTCATAAATGTTGATAATCGTAGGGCTTCCTCCCTGATTGACAGAACACAAGTGTTGTTATTATTATATATTAAAGTATTTGTTGTTGTGTGATCAGGAGCTCAGCGCGGCGGCGTCCTGTCGATCGACGGCGAGCACTGAGGACCGCAACGACTGCTGTACACACACTTCCTGTCTGCGTGACACACTTCCTGTCTGCGTGACACAACAGACACATTGCCATGGAGACGCTGACGTGACGAACGATTGGACAGAAAACTTTGCTTTGACTTGAACTGATGAGACGTTCACTGACGCCGCCGCTTCACCACTGTTTGATTTTTTAGAGTTTATTTTCTTCATGAAGCTTAGCTGCTGCTTTTTTAACTTCCTGCTGATGCTTTTTCACACTTTAGCCTGTTTTAATATTAATTATTCAAGTTTAATCCTCTGTCTTTACTTCTTACTGTTATTTCTCCTGAAAATCCACATGCTTAGAATAGAGATTTCTGCAGAATAAATGTCCTGAAAACGTCAGAGGTAGAAGAAGTATTAAAACCTCAAGTTAAAGTCCTGCATTCAAAATGTAACTTTGGTTAAAATACAAAAGTATTAGCATTAAAATATAACTACACTTAACTTAAATAAATACTTGAGTCCCATATCTGATAAAGCACTTTTCACCAGTGATAAGCCTACGTGCTGCATTCAAGAACTCTATATATTTTACAATGAATCATTAATTTGCAGCATTTCTCTGCTTCTTCTTAAACAGAGAGGAAGTGAACCTTTTCAAAATGAGAGCAGACATGATGATTCTCCTCTCTGCTGGTTTGTTTAACCCTCCTGTTGTCTTCGGGTCCAATCTGACCGATTTACTACTTTCATCAATCATAACTTTTTTGTTTTACATTCGATTGCATTAAAGGTGGGGTAGGTAAGTTTGAGAAACCGGCTCGAGATACACTTTTTGTTATATTCCATGGAATGCTCTTAACATCCCGATAGCAATGAATATCTGAAGTGCTTTGACAAAAAATACATAAAAAAATTTCATCTGTGGAAGCCGTAGTACTGTAAAAAGCACGACCGATCATTTGAGCCGGCCCGGCTAAAATAACTGGATGGCCTACCTGCCTGTCAGCCTTCCATCTGTGCACAAACTTATCTCGTGCCCTCATTGGTCATGTGCGTGTTCGTGTGGGTTGGAGGAGGGGCTCTGTAGGGCTCTGTAAGGAAGTGGCAGATTTTCTCCGGTTGTGTATTTTCAAATTCTAGCGCACTCGAGCTGGTTTCTCCAAAATTACCTACCCCACCTTTAAGGCTTTATGATATCCTTCACAGTAGACATTTGAACATATACAATTGCTGATCACCACTTTCATTGAATTTTGGATGATTTAGTCAACTTTGAAACACCCATGGTGTTCCCGGTCAAAAATGGAATTAGTAACCATCCGGATCAGATAAAACACACACACACACACACATACCATGTATACATCACTTCAGGGGACATTACATTGACGTACATGCATTTCCTGGAGACTTATCCTAACCTTAACCATAGCCAACACATGCCTAATCCTAACCCTTACCCTAACCAAGTCTTCGCCCTAAAATGAATGATTCCCCTTATGGGGACCTCCATTTTGTCCCCATAAGGGAGGCAAGTCCCTACACGTGACTGTGTAAACAGATTTAGGTCCCCACAAGTATAGTAATAGTAATACTAGGCCACGCACACACACACACAAACAATTTGATACATTTCCCGCTCTTATGTGCCCATCCCCCCACATGGATCACACCTGGCACACGCAATACATGTTCAGTGTCTATTCTTTGTATATCTACTGCAGTTGTTCATGTATACCAGTAGTCTGATACAATATTTACAGTTTGAAAGGGTGTTAAATGACATTTGATGATGATTAATGGTTTTTGTGTTAATGTAATAGCAGTTAAAACAGGACCGGTCAAATGTGACCGCGAACACCAAAGTAAGGGGGGGGGGGGAACGAAGACAATAGGAGGGTTAAATCAAATCCAATCTACTAAAGGCAGATGAACGAGTTCCTGTTAATACCTGAAATCTGGTCTCTTCCTGGACCACGTATTGTTAAATATTGAGGATGAAGTGGAGTAAGAACCATATACTGTATATAAGAAGAAGGAGACGTAGGTTTTTATCTCTATATTTTGTCAAAGAGGCAGAAAAACGTGTCAGGATTGTTTGTGTTTGTTTCTTTCTGAACGCAGCTTGACGAAGCAACGACTCGACTTTTAGAAGCTTTTATCTAATTTGGGGACGGGTGGGGGGGAGGGGGGGGGGGGGTTTGAGGACGGGTTGAATGTCTTATGAGGATTAATAAACCTGAAAAGTTTCTAACATGTTGTCTTTGTCTTGATTTACGTGATTCATCAAATGAGAAAGACTTGAATAAGAAACTGTATTATTTTATGATTAGCAAGTCAAGCCTTGTTACTTCTGTTAAAAATAGAGAATTGTCTTTATTTAAATTGTACTTTTAGTGCTTGTATGTTTGAAATGGGATAAGGACTGAAGTTTCAACTCAAAGGGGAAATCATATTTTATATTTTATGGACAGAGATTTTTATCATCTCAAAAAACTGAGGCTTTAAATACTTCCAAATATTTGTTTTTGTGATCGTTTTAATATTTTTGGGAGGTCAGTAACTACTCGGTAACTCTAATATTCTGTCTCTTATTTCTACACTAGCAGATTTGACCAACAGATGGCGCTATTTCACTGTAAAATGCTTCAAAACGGCATGTTGCTTCAGGGGCAGATTACTGGTAATGAGGTAGTATAAGAATCAAGAGACACTTGAAGTACCACATTTAAAAGCATGTAGAATTTGTTGTTGTATTAATTGATAACAAATAATTGATGCAATGTTTCATATGTATTTTACTTGATACTGGGGGTAGTAAAATATGTAATCATATGTATATCATGTTTGTTAATCAATTAAACCTGTCAGATTAATGTAGTGACGTAAAAAGTAATCATTTCCCCTGAGATTTAAATCGAGGAGAATTAGCAGAGCGTTCAAATACTCCAGTGAAGTACAAGTACCTACACATTGTACAACAGTGCAGGTTAAATATAAGCCTACAGGTGTTAAAACACACTTAATTTATTATGTATTATTAAGATTGTTTAATGATCCTCCTGTGAGAGTCAGCAGGTGATTTTTTCCCACAGTTCAGTCTGCCAGAAGGGGGCGGGGCCTGTCACTGTAACAAGCCAATGATGAGTGGGCGTGGAGCCGACGACTGATAAACATCTGAGCCAATCAGACAGTAACAGGTCCCAGAGGAGAGAGGGGGTGTGTGTGTGTGTGTGTGTGTGTGTGTGTGTGTGTGTGTGTGTGTGTGTGTGTGTGTGTGTGTGTGCGTGTGTGTGTGTGTGTGTGTGTGTGTGTGTGTGTGTGTGTGTGTGTGTGTGTGTGTGTGTGTGTGTGTGTGTGTGTGTGTGTGTCAGAGTTCCCGTTAGCCGGTAATTACCGGACAATGACCGGTAAAATATGCTGAAGTCCGGCAAATCTAAATCTCTCCGGTCAAAATGTCCGGTCAAAATAATTTTCCCTTAGCGCAATACCGCATCAGTTGCGCCACTTATGTGACAGACAAGAATAGTATGTGACAGACAAAAGAGTATGTGACAGACAAAAATTGTCAATTCTAATGTCTAACACTTAATGTGGAGAAAGAGATGTCCTGTATGGGTTGATTGTGCGTTGATCTGTTGGTAATGCCTCGGGGTTCCGGTGGGCATGTAAACAAATGCATAATGCTGCGCTATACTTTGTGGCCTCATCCGGTTGCATAGCGACGCTTATTGTTTAGGTGTCTTTTAACAAGCAGGTAGTCATATCATTAGCTAGAACTAGCTAGATCTGATCGATATGGACATAAATGCGAGTAAAGTCTAATCTGACAGGAGAGAGAGATCGGCTGCTGCTGACGAGTCGACACGCAGCTCTGCATGATCCCCTGCAGCGGCGAGCAGAGCAAAACACACTTCAGGTTAGAAAATCACACGTAGCTATTTTAATTACCTCTCAAACTACCTAAACTAGTTATAGATATGTTTAGTTTTACTGTCGGGTCACTCATTACTGGATCCGCGAGCTGCATGATACTGACGGGCTGTCAGGAGAAGGAGAGAGCGCTCCGTTTATTATTCCCGCGTTTTTGTAAATTACTGTACACTTTTGAATAATGTAGTTAATCTACTATAATTAGTTTGTTTAATGTCGAATCATATCAATTTGTTTTAAAGCTCAATAAATAACAAAGAAGACCTTTAACCGGCACTTATCTAATTTTGTCCGGAAGATTTCAACTTTAACGGACATGTTGACCGGCAAAAAAATATTCTAACGGGAACTCTGGTGTGTGTGTGTGTGTGTGTCGAGCGATAGAATTACTAACAAAGAATTGCTAACAAAGCACTTATATACTAATAAAGGACTGGCTTATCTAAAGCTAGTTGAGTATCACTTGAAATGTTTTGGCTCTATGAAACCAGAGGCCTGTACTACGAAGCTGGATTTTCGCTTAGCCGGCTAAATTCAGGGAAAACTTGGGCTTTCCGGTCCTACGACGCTGGTTCTCTTTTTAGCGGGCTAGATCTCCATGGTAATTTATGCTGATATGTGATTTCATAAACCTGTTAATGTACGCATTCAAACACTTTTTCTTTTACCAGCTGTATTCACCTTGCAGGTGCAGCTATGTGGCTTTTATCCTGGATAAAGTGTTTAAGACATGGATGTTTAAAGTTTAACTTCTTCATATTTGACTAATATTAAAGTTCACTTTTCATTCAGGAAGTATGACGCTGCGCTGTCAGTACGCTTGTCCATGTTTGTGATTGGTCGAATGCTCCAAATACCACCCCTTTCATGTGAACGCGCACCTAACTAGATAGGACACGGCTGGCTTGAGCGATCCACTTGATAACCAGCGTCGTAGTACAGTTTAGAGCGCGTATGTTTTGGATTAGGCCAACCGGCTAACTCAAACATATCCAGGTTAGGAAAATCCGGCTTCGTAGTACAGGCCTCTGATGTACTCATATGATGCTGTTTTCTTCAAGTTTGTATCTTGTTGGTCGAATGCACTTATTGTAAGTCGCTTTGGATAAAAGCATCAGCTAAATGCAATGTAATGTGTGTGTGTGTGTGTGTGTGTGTGTGTGTGTGTGTGTGTGTGTGTGTGTGTGTGTGTGTGTGTGTGTGTGTGTGTGTGTGTGTGTGTGTGTGTGTGTGTGTGTGTGTGTGGTGTGTGTGTGTGTGTGTGTGTGTGTGTGTGTGTGTGTGTGTGTGTGTGTGTGTGTGTGTGTGTGTGTGTGTGTGTGTGTGTGTGTGTGTGTGTGTGTGTGTGTGTGTGTGTGTGTGTGTGTGTGTGTGTGTGTGTGTGTGAGATGATGCTTCAGTCTCAGTTCCCACCTCTGTCTAGTTCTGCAGTGTGTTATTGTGTCTGTTTATCTGATCGGAGCATCTTTTCTGCTAAGTGACAACAGACAGAAAAGAGAAGTATTCAGGGCCTTTACTGCAGTACATTTACTAAAAGCACACATAGAAAATAGTTTCCTGTTTCTTTTAAATCCTTAGTTAGGTAAAAGTTTGTATCAGCAAAATGTTCAATCAGTGTAACCCTAAATCTCCTGGAAACATCTACTGTAGTGGGTACCTTTGAGGTACTTTTTTGAGTACTCTACCAGGTGTTTTTATCTATGTCTGTGCACAGATTGTGTCACCTCGATAACATTACAATCATGCAAGACAGTCATGAAGCTTTACAGAAGTGTAGCGATGAAAATTATCAGTAATTTCAAATATGGGAGTGTTAGTGACACTTTATTAGAGACCACCTGGTACGGTGGCCAGCAGGTGCAAACACGCTACAACGAACCATTTCCATCAGGAGAAATGCAGCTTCAGAAACAATGCAGATATAAAATCCCAAATGTGCCGAAACATATGCAAATGAAGAAACATCTTCACCAACTTGACAACACGTGCACAGCGTTTACTAAAGCACTGCATAAATGAAATGCTGCAAGTAAAACATTTTTGCAAGAAGCTCGAAACACAGCGGAAACGGGGACACTAAAAAGTGACGCACACAGCTGTGACCGGAGCGCTTGTTGACGTTCAGGATTATGAAGTTGGCCAACTGTCTTTGTTGTTGGAGATTTAGCTAACATTTAGGTTTAATAGCTTATTTTAACAATGTGATCACATGATTCCTTACGATTGTATTGCAGATCTGCTGTGAACTAGCTAGCTGACATAGCTTAACTAGTCATTTCAAATATACTGAGAAAAAAAGGATGATTATGAAACAGACTAACTCTGCCAACAGTGGATATAATGCTTCACCGAACACAGGAGGGGGCTTGGCTGTCTACAAATAAAGACGGCTAATTTTAATTCTTAATTAGTTAAAATATACTACTCCAACATTGGTACTTATATTTATGTATTTTCTTTAAACCAAAACAGACGTTTCGTCCTGCAGTATTTGGACACGCATCCATGTGCTCAATAATGCCACAACTACAAATATTGTGAGGCGAGGAGACAGTGCATTTAAGCTGTAATACTTAAAGATCCCGTCAAGATTCACATCAAATATTTTCATCATCCAGAGCAAACATTTGGGCGCTAATGGACAGGAAATTCCTGGGATGAAGCACGTGGAAATGTTATGTTAACATATTTTAAATAGAAACAGCAACAGCTCACAGTATTCAGGGGTAATATTAAATGGATTTCCTTAACATAGTAAAAACTCTCCAGGAACTACAACCCTCTGTGAGGAGGTGACAACATCCAGAATCACACAAATTATTCTTTATTCAAAACGATTACAAACAATGTAATGTCAGAGGAAGACAAAGTGTTATGCATTTCCAGTTAACTTGTGAACTCATTTCATAACAAAACAGCAAATGTGTAGAATTCATTGAGTCGACAAGTCTCCTCTCGGACAGGACCCAAAGTTCATCAAAGTGTTTTTACACTGAACAGAAGGCCGTAGTGACTGTGACATTACATGGCTCTTGCATAAAATGTAATTACAATTGAGTAAGTGTTAATTGATTGTGTAAAAAATGTGTTCCTAAGTTTGACTCAAGTATCTTATATCTTCATTAGCAACTAACAAATATCAATGTTCTGTTAGCTAAGATCTTGCCTAGGGCAGCAAATTGGTCAGTCGTTCTTCACGGCCAGAACGGCACCAGACACATAGAGCGAAGCCGCAATGACGGCTGCTGGTGGGAACAAGACAGACGAACCCATGACCACAATTGCACTGAAGCACATGCCCAGTCCTCCAGCACGCGCCTGCACAGGGAAACAACAGACACATGAAAGTTAGTGAGCCGAGAGATTTTAATATCCAAAACTCTGGTCCTTTGGATGTAGGCCTAGTGTTAAATGACGTCTACATGCTGGAAAACACTGACTTTGTTGGTTTTAACTTTATTTATTTTAATTCAGTGTTTTTTATATTTTTATTTTACTATGTATTCTTAAAAATGGTTCATACATTTAGTTAAACTTACGTTTTTTTATTTAAATGATGAGGTTAATGGTTGGCCTTGAGAATTGAAATATGGTATGTTTTTTTTCCGGGGGCGACTTCCTCAACACAGATAAGATCCACAGTGAGGTTACCCTAGGTAACTTCTGTCTCTCTGTCTGTCTGTCTGTCTGTCTGTCTGTCTGTCTGTCTGTCTGTCTGTCTGTCTGTCTGTCTGTCTGTCTGTCTGTCTGTCTGTCTGTCTGTCTGTCTGTCTGTCTGTCTGTCTGTCTGTCTGTCTGTCTGTCTGTCTGGTCTGTCTGTCTGTCTGTCTGTCTGTCTTGTCTGTCTGTCTGTCTGTCTGTCTGTCTGTCTGTCTGTCTGTCTGTCTCTGTCTGTCTGTCTCTCTGTCTCTGTCTGTCTGTCTGTCAGAAAAAGTAGGTCCTGTTGCATTTATTTAAAGCCTCAGAGACCTAGGAGCCGACTGGGAGAGAGTGCGCACAAGCCAAAATCCTTTCTGAGTTGGTCCTAAAGATTAAATCTCGAACACTGTTGTAAAAAAAGAAAAAGAAAGTTCAAAACCTTGTGAAGCTTCTGCAGATTATGATTTGCTTGAACATGCTACAAATTCTGATTTCTCATATTTTTTTATTTTGTTTTAATTCAGTGGTTTTCATTTTCCATCTTGTGCTATGTATGTTTTCTATTTTAGATTTTTTTATTTAGTTTTTAATGTGGGTGTTTTTTATTATAGGCTACTGTTATTATCAATAGTTTTTGTTTTCCATCAATCTGGTGCGATATCCCTGTCTACTTTTCCTTGTTGTAAAGCACTTGCATCCCTTGTGTGATGTACAAACAGTTTGTTGTTATTATTATTCCAAATATCAACACAAGACAACACATAACGTTGTTACAGTATGCTGTCGAGGTTTTTTGTATTTCCCCAACACGATATATTTTTGATGTGAAAACATTTTGTGTTATTTCTTTTTCAGTGAGTTTTCTTTATAGCCCATTATTTGTATCAAGCAAGCACAATTACTGTATTTATGTTTGTTTTACAAAGGTAATTATTTTTACTCCAGCCCCCCCTTAAAAAAAAAAAGAGTCTTAACCGACCTGCTTGGACTTTGCTTCTCCGTAGCGCAGCTTTTTGACAAAGTGCTCACAGTTGTGTTCAAAAAGGCTGTAGCGCAGCAGTTCACCGACCCTCGCACAGGCGTCCCTCACAATGTCCTCCGCCGGGCGGGGCTTGTAGTCCTTGTCCATGCTGTTATTGAGTTTCCACGTGTCGTTTCCCACCACATCCGTCAGCTTCTCTTTCTTCACCAAGGCCTTCTCATTGCTAACAGACATCGAACTGCTGGAACTAGCACCAGCTACGGTATGAACACAAAGGAAAAGAGAGAAAAATAGATGTGATTGTGTGGGTTTATGCACTAAATACTGTAAAATATTTTGTTTTTATGAATTATAAACAACTTCAAACAATGTTTTTTTTGGTAAAAAAAAACGTAATGTAAATTAGGGCTGTTTTGTGTGTGTGTGTGTGTGTGTGTGTGTGTGTGTGTGTGTGTGTGTGTGTGTGTGTGTGTGTGTGTGTGTGACTCACAGGTTGGTGACATGTGGACAATGAACCAATCGCCCACATACACAGCCCAGTGCTTATAGCCTCCCTTGGAGATCTCAATCAAATCCCCTGGTTTTAAATACTTGGAATAAAACAGATAGAACAAGTGTTTGACTTTGCAACAGACTTTTTTTGGCAACAACTGCAGTTCATTGTGACATGACAGGACCCTCTGTGTTAAACTAAGATAAGATAAGACTTATATTGGGCTAAAGAAATACAGCTCTTTTGACACACACTATACACAATGCATAATGACACATCATTGCATAAGAGACACAAAACATATTTTTAAAAACCCACTATGGTTTGATTATATATTTTCTGATTAAGTGATTATTTCCTTACCTTTGTCGGCGCCATGTCAGCGTTTATTTCACCTGGTTTCCACTGCTTTGTTTTCTTTGGTGACTTGCAGCACCTGTAGGACAAATTATTCTATAGTCCAAATAGTAGCATACAACATTAGATATAGTAAACTTTAGAAAAACTGCTTCATTCTCCCTTTAGTGAAAATGTACCTCTGCTTTCTGATTGTTTGCTACAAATGTTGTTTGTTAGCTCAAAGGGGAAATTACTAGAGCCAGTGGTGGAAGAAGTAAAACTGTAAAAATACTCTGTTACAAGTAAAAGTCCTTCATTCATAATCTTACTTTGGTCAAATTACAAAAGTATTGCCATCAAAATGTACTTAAAGTGTACACTTGCTGGATATTCGACCCATAACTTTATGGCAGTATATTTCTTAGTTTATGTATATCTTGTATTTTCGAATAATCCCAATCCCAAGTAACTAGTAAAATATTACGTGTCCCAAAATTGTACTTGAGTACAGTTCTTGAGTAAATGTACTTCACTACAATACAGCACTTGCATAGAGAAAAGCATTATTTATATAATACTCACATTTTGATTATTTTAATACTGCATAATATAATATATAAAAAGATAATGTGTTACATTAAATATACATTCATATTTACACCTGACCAAGCTAAAACTAATACAGTCAAAAGTAAGTATTACGGGAAAATCCTATCTTTGTGAAGGTTATAATTTAAAAAAAATGGGATGCTTTTTAAAGAGGCATCTTCTTTTTCAGTTGTTCATCATTTTGGAAATTGGAGGCTGTCATTTGAGATGCTGTTGAATGTATCAGAATCAGAAACTGGTTTATTGCCAAGTAGATTTACACATACCAGGAATTTTCCTTGGTGTGTGTAGTGCTACATAACACAGTTACATGAGCCTGTGTCCTAAGATTGTTATCATCATAACTACACTGTAGCTATGCACGTATGACCAATAAAAGCCTTGAACCTTAAACAGTTAATTACATTATACTGACAGACGTTGTTGTTATGTAGCCCACGCCCTACGTCAGTCAACAGCACCATACACTACAGCCTCCAAAACGATTATAATGTTAAATCAACACATCTGTTAAAGGTGGGGTAGGTAAGTTTGAGAAACCGGCTCGAGATACACTTTTTGTTATATTCCATGGAATGCTCTTAACATCCCGATAGCAATGAATATCTTAAGTGCTTTGACAAAAAATCCATAAAAAAATGTCATCTGTAGAAGCTGTAGTACTGTAAGGACCGTTTATTGTCAAAATGTCTCAAAAGTTATTTGCCATGAGGGAAAAGTGTGTGTTCCCCCCCCCCCTCCCGTCTTTCTAGATGCTAACGCTTGAACAAAAACCATTTAAATTTCACTTAAAAAGAAGAATAAATAGAGGATAAAAGAGGGGGTCATTCGGTTTCGTTTTTACGTTTGAACAAGATAAGCCAAGACACAGCGATGCAGCCGAAAGCTGCGAAACATACAAACTACACTGTGTAGAGCTTTAAAACACGCAGCATCACGATAACAGAGCCTCGACCGACATGACAGTACACTTTGTGAATATTATTTTACTGGAAGACAGTGCTCTTACCTTTAAACGTAAGCTTGGTCAGATGTCAGAGGCGAGGCCCGAACCAAACCGATACTGAAAGCAGAGCTCAGAGATTAGAAGATAAGATAAGATGGACCTTTATTAACCCCGTGGGGAAATTCAGTAGTTCAAACAGCAACAGGGTTAGGTAAGGCAAGGCAAGTTTATTTTTATAGCACCTTTCAACACAAGTGCTTTACAAAAAGGAACGACTGCTGTACACACACTTCCTGTCTGCGTCACACACTTCCTGTCTGCGTCACACACTTCCTGTCTGCGTCACACACTTCCTGTCTGCGTCACACACTTCCTGTCTTCGTCACACACTTCCTGCGTGACACACTTCCTGCCTGCGTGACACAACAGACACATCGCCATGGAGACTATGACGTGACGAACGATTGGACAGGAAACTTTGCTTTGACTTGAACTGATGAGACGTTCACTGACGCCGCCGCTTCACCACTGTTTGATTTTTTTGAGTTTATTTTCTTCATGAAGCTTAGCTGCTGCTTTTTTAACTTCCTGCTGATGCTTTTTCACACTTTAGCCTGTTTTAATATTAATTATTCAAGTTTAATCCTCTGTCTTTACTTCTTACTGTTATTTCTCCTGAAAATCCACATGCTGAGAATAGAGATTTCTGCAGAATAAATGTCCTGAAAATGCCAGAGGTAGAAGAAGTATTAAAACCTCAAGTTAAAGTCCTGCATTCAAAATGTAACTTTGGTTAAAATACAAAAGTATTAGCATTAAAATATAACTACACTTAACTTAAAGTGGACCTATCATGCTATATTTGAATAATATAGTGTAGGACCATACCTATATAAGGCATATTTATACTTTTTTTTTCAAAATACCAAACAGATCATGCATTTTAGCCATGCCTAATTTTGCTCAATTTGAAAAATGTTAGCTCTGTTTTTGCAAGGGCAGATTCTGTGAGAACAGCACCATCTACTGGCCTGGCATATGTACTACAGCGTCTCCAGCGCTTTCGAACGGCAATGGCCGTGGCTGTCTCCTCCTGATAGGTGGAGTTGGCCCAATAGCCGTAGCGCCACCGTCCTGACGTCAGGACAGTGTTCAAATCTGGATCAGTTTTCATCAGATCCGTTGCAGCCCCTTTTTTAGAGATTTGGGTATGGAGGAAAATAGAGAGGGTTGTGTTTTCTGACACTTGGTGAGTTCCCTGGAACACCGGGGACACATATTCATGTATAAAAGACGTACAAAAGTGCATTTTGCATGATAGGTCCCCTTTAAATAAATACTTGAGTCCCATATCTGATAAAGCACTTTTCACCAGTGATAAGCCTACGTGCTGCATTCAAGAACTCTATATATTTTACAATGAATCATTAATTTGCAGCATTTCTCTGCTTCTTCTTAGACAGAGAGGAAGTGAACCTTTTCAAAATGAGAGCAGACATGATGATTCTCCTCTCTGCTGGTCTGTTTAACCCTCCTGTTGTCTTCGGGTCAAATCTGACCGATTTACTAATTTCATCAATCATAACTTTTTTGTTTTACATTCGATTGCATTAAGGCTTTATGATATCCTTCACAGTAGACATTTGAACATATACAATAGCTGATCACCACTTTCATTGAACTTTGGATGATTTAGTCAACTTTGTAACACCCATGGTGTTCCCGGTCACCATCCGGATCAACACACACACACACACACACACACACACACACACACACACACACACACACACACACACACACACACACACACACACGCCAACAGTCACACTTACACTGTGTATCATGCTGCATTCAGGACATGTTCTTAAAAGCAAATATACGTAATGTGTTTTTGAAATATTACAGTGCTTCATTGATGGATTATACGGAGCAAAAGTGTCAAGGCCTGCCTTTGGCGTTCATCTGTATAATGTTGCTTTAATAGACACACACCAACCAGGAACAGACTCAAAACGACTACAAAGAAACATGAAAAGACTACAAAGAGACACAAAATGACCGCAAAAAAGACCGAAAGTGAAAACAAAGATATAACAATTACCACAAATAGGCCCAGAATTATTATTAAACTGCAGAGACACAAAATGACCACAAAGACACATACAACGACTAAAGGACTCACATAACAACACAAAGAGGCTAAACAACTAACAGAACAATTTGATACATTTCCCGCTCTTATGTGCCCATCCCCCCACATGGATCACACCTGGCACACGCAATACATGTTCAGTGTCTATTCTTTGATGAGTGATTCTACAATTTAGGGTACATTCCATGTCCATTGATGTCCATTGATGATAATTATAATTATTCCAACTATTTTCTTCAAAAATATCATATTTTGCCTATTATTGGAAAGCATGTTATAATATCACACAAACATTATGTGCATCCTATGCTTTATTTAGCTTGAAATGTGTCATGATGTTCTTAAATTGTCAGTTTTTGCTCTGTCCGTTTTTCAGTTGAGGGTGTCTTGGTTTCAAAATAATGAATAAAAACCATTAAAGTAAATAAAAAAAAGTATTCATTTATTTCAAAAGTCTAAATACTAAAGAATAATAACATATTTTTAATTGATTTCCTCCTTTAAATAATTTAAATATCTTAATATATGAATGTCCGCAAAAGTTCTGTCAACTATGTTACTAACAGAACTTCCCCCTTTAACTCACAAATGGTTTGTCCCAATACCATGTCACCAGCATCACATGATGCCATGTTCCTCTTTGGCAGACATTTTGAACACACTGTGGTGATTGTCCTCTAATTTTTTACAATATTTTATGTATAATAGCACATTGTCAATGAGTATATTCATTGACCATCAACAATGTTACGTACATTGTTATGGTTTACAATTGTTTAATGATTTTAATTCAATTATATGTTCAAATGTGATGTTAACCTGTTCAAGAAAATGACATGTGGTCATCCAGGCAAGGCCTACCATTGAAATGATGGGTCAAAATAGGGAAATTGTCAACTAGGTTACCTGTCAACTAAGTTACCCAGTACTGTAATAACTGTAGTAACAGTTATTACATTTATATAAAATAAAATAAAAAAATGTTTAAGCTTTGCAACCAGTGGATATGTTACACTGAGGAATATACTAACTTGAACCACTGATTGTTCTATTGAGAAAGAACACTTTCTTTGTACTGTTTTGTTGATGTGAAATGCACCCTAAATTATAGAATCTGTTATGTTTATGCATGGGTTTTGTTGTGTGATTTCCTGTTTTGCTCCTTTTACCCCTCACTACTCTGTCTCTCCTTCTCTGCAGGGCTGGTGTGTGACAGGGGGCGTGGCTGGTATTCTCCTGGCTGCAGATGAGGCACACCTGTTCCCATTCAGATAATCACCTGCTCTTTAAGAGCCTGGCCCTCACCTCATTTCTCTGCCAGAGAATTAAATGCTGTTCAACGATCCAGAGTGCCTTTCTGCAGCCTTGAGTTTTGTTTTGTTTCTTTGCAGTTTTTGAGCTACTTTTCGAGTATAGCCTGGGACGTTTCCCTCTGCTTTGTTTTTGGACCTTTCTGCAGCCAGCCAGCTCCCTGTTTTCAGTACCTGCCTTGGCCTATTATTTATTAAACACCTTGAGCTTAACTTGTGTCTGTCTCTGCTTTGGGGTCCAAGAATCCATACGTCACAGAATTCTCTGGCCAAATGGACCCCGCAGAGAATGAGAGACTCAGGGAAGCGCTTGCTGCCCAAGGTGTAATTATAGGGCATCATGACAGAGCCCTGCAGAAGGTAATGGAAGTGATTCAGGAATTAACCTCCGGTGTGACCAACCTCGGAGGCCGTATGGATCAGGTCGCAGCACATCTCTCCACGCGCCCGCTGACTGCCAATGCTCAAGCTCCAGATCCTGCTCCTCCACCTCAAGCTGATCCGGAACGACAGCCCTGCAATCCTCGTGAGCCCTTTATCCCCACTCCCGTCAGGTATTCAGGAGATTTAGGGTCTTGTAGTCAGTTCTTGCACCAATGTAGTCTTGTGTTTGAGCAACAACCATTTACTTATTCCACTGATAGATCTAGGGTTGCTTTTATTATGAGCCTACTGAGTGATAAAGCAGCAGCATGGGCCCTTGCCATATCTAACAGCAACTCGCCTATCAGTCAGTCTCTGCCGTCTTTTACTGCAGAGATGCGTAAGGTTTTTGATCATCCAGTGAGGGGGAAGGAGGCTGGTAAAAGACTCCTTTCACTCCACCAGGGTTCAGGCTCTGTTGCTAATTTTGCTATCGATTTCCGCATTCTTGCAGCTGAGAGCGGTTGGGATGACATGGCCTCGCTGGGAATTTTTTGTAAGGGGCTAAATGATGATTTAAAGGATGAACTAGCTGCCAGGGATGAAACTTCCTCCTTAGAGGAGTTGATTTCTTTAGCGACACGATTAGATAACCGCCTCCGCGAGAGGCGTAGGGAGAGATCAGGAAAGCATAGCTCCACCTCCCTTCCCCCTCAGTCCAAGTTTTCTAGACAGCCAGCGTTCCCTGGACCTTCTCTTCATCCTCCAGACTCCTGGCCTTCCAGTGCTTCGCCTTCTACCAAGGCCTCTCCCTTCCGCATGGAGGAGCCCATGCAGCTGGGAAGGATGACGCTTACCCAATCAGAACGTCAACGCCGTCTTCATCAGAGACTCTACTTCTACTGTGGCCAGGCTGGTCACTTCCGCGCCGGTTGTCCTACTCAGCCAAAAGACCTGGCTCATCAGCAACAGGGGGAGTACTGATGAGCCATACCTCTATCAACTCAGCCTCCTCCAACCGCATCCCAGTCAAAGGTACTATTTCTTGGTCTCAGGCCTCTTTTCCGCTTCAGGTCTTGATAGATTCTGGTGCGGATGACAATTTCATTGACTCTGACTTTGTGATGCAGTCTAAGCTCCCCTTTGAGCCTCTTCCTGAACCTAAAGATGTGTTTGCCTTAGACGGGAGACTCCTAGCCCAAGTCACCCACCGTACTGCTCCAGTTTCCCTCAAGCTCTCTGGTAACCATCACGAGATTATCTCCCTGTACCTTATTCCCTCACCCATGTCGCCACTCGTTTTAGGTTTTCCGTGGTTAAAGCTCCATAACCCTCATATAGATTGGGCCAACTCATCTATCGTTAACTGGAGTATATTCTGTCA